TGTTTGATGGGGACAGTGTTGAGGGAGCTTTACTCTGTATCTGACCCCGTGCCGACCCTGTCCTGGGAGTGTTTGATGGGGACAGTGTTGAGGGAGCTTTACTTTGTATCTGACCCCGTGCTGACCCTGTCCTGGGAGTGTTTGGCACATCCATTGGATGCTGAGGACAATAGGTATTTGCAAAGTTGAGTCTGAATATTTTTGTGCAAGTGGATCCGGTGATAATGGATGAAGAAGAATTTCCCCCAGTTTTCAAACCTGCAGACTGATGTTCTGAAGAGGAGTCATATTGGACTGAAAACATTAATTCTGTTTCTCTCTTCACAGATGCTGCCAGACTTGCTGGGTTTCTCCAGCACTTTTGATTTTTAAAAATTTTTTTGTATAAAAATTCAGTCCTACTTTCTGCTTTGTGTAAATTTCAGGTTATCTAAAACAGCTTGGATGAGATCTCACTGTCCCACATTGGTCTCTGGTTGAGCAATGCCTGGACTTTGACATTCTCCCCCTTGTTTTCAAATCCATCCATAGCCTTGCTCCTCCCTGTTTCTGTGCCCTCTTCCAACCCTGCAACCTACGGAGATCTCTGACTCCAGATCCTTGCACATTCCAATCTCAATCACTCCATCATTAAGGGCTGAGCCTTTAGTGGCCTGGATCCCTTAGCCCTGTAATTTGCTCCCAACGATCTCTTTCTGTGTGTCTCCCCACCTTTAGGACAGTCCTTCAAAACCCAGGTCTTTGATCAAGCTCTTGGTCAGCTAACTTCATAGCTCTTCATGTAGCTCAGTGTCAAATGTTGGCTTTTTAACACTCCTTTAGAGCATCTTGGTTGTTTAATTACGTTAAAGGCTCAACATTAATAGAAATTGTTGGTGAATTGACAGGTGAGTAGAGTTAGGGTGAACACCTGACCAGGAGTAGACCATTTAGTCCCTTGAGCCTATTTTGCTGTTCAGTGATATCATGGCTGATATCATGGCTGATCTGTGGCCTAACTCTATTTACCTTCCTTTGGCCCATATCCCTTAATACCTTTGCTTAACAAAGAATTATCAATCTCGGATTTAAAATTAACAACTGATCCAGCATCCACTGCCATTTGTAGAAGAGAGTTCCACACCTCTGCCACCCTTTGCGTGTCGATGTGCTTTCTAACATCTCTCCTGAATGGTCTGGCCTTCATTCTCATACTATGACCCTAGTTCTAGAATCCCCAACCAGTGGAAGTAGTTTATCGTTATCTAATCTGTCTTTTCCTGTTGATATCTTGAAAACTTTAATCAGATCACCCCTTAACCTTCTAAATTGTAGAAAAAATAGGCCCAATTTGTTTAATGTTGCTTCATAATTTAAACCCCTGGAGTCCAGGTATTGTTCTTGTGACCCTACGTTGTACTTCCTTCAAGGCCCAGGCACTAACTCAATGGTGAGAATGGCCTTTAGTCCTCAGCCAGTGTCTTATCCTGTGGGCTCAGTTCACCTCTCATAGTGATATGTGCTTTGTTGAAACTAAAGGGGAGATTCCCAACTGTGGTTGAGTCTGCACCTGAACATTGTAACCCGTTTATTAATATGTTAAGCCACAAATCAGCCATATTCTCATTGAATGGTTAGACAGGCTTGAGGGACTGAATTAGATATTCCTGTCCCTGTGTCCTTATTCAGGACTTTGGGGGTTAGATCAGATCACAAGGGCAGTGGGTCTTCTTTTTATTATTGTGATATTAACCATCACTATTGCACCAAGTGAAACTTTAAAGCATAGTGACAGATTTTTAAAAAATACTTGCCGTTTGAGCGTTGCGCTTTTGAATCATCGCTGCTTTTGCTCTCTCGCTGTATTTTTCTCTCTCTTTACCAGACGCAGACTTCCAGGCTTATACAGGCTGATTAGTTGCTGTTCTTTTCTAACAGGTAACGCATAACATCTTTTCTTAAGATCAATCATCACTTCATCTCATCTTGTTAGCTGTACCAGTCAAATGATTCATTTCCCCAATGCACTGCTGCAGCTTGTTTATAATCATGTCATTTGTTTTTCTTTTTTTGGTTGGTTCAATTTTATTTTGTCGTTTTGGTTTTCCGCTGCAATCTTCGCTTCCTATCCTTAGGAGTGGAAAGTGTGGAAGCCGACACAGACGCGACATTTTGGGATCGTGTGCGACTGCTGGTTGTGTGATCAAACATTGTAATGCGTTTATTAATATGTTGTTTGCGTCTACGTTTCATACAGAAGCACTTTGAATGAATGTGTTGAAAAGTTCATTGGGGGACGTAGAAATGGTGTAGAATTGTAAAAGAGAATACACCATATATGTAATATTTTAGGCTCATTTAACGAAGTGTCCTGTTTTGAATTTTTGACTATGCTGCTTTGAAGAAGGAGAGAAGTGGATTTCCTTTGTCTCTAGCCATTGTCAGGGATCATGTCCAACCTTCTCCCCACCTGCTTTTTAAAATAGGGCCCTATATGATCTGATGTATACATCATAAAATCATTCATTGTAAATACTGGGACTCGTATCCTGTCCATCTTCCAGAATCTGTGTGTGGGGTACAGCGACCTACTTTGAGAAAGCGCTTTTAATGTAATAAAAGCAAGTGTCCCAAGTTGCTTCACAGGAGCGTTACCAAAGCTTAACACTGAGCCATTGCAGGGGATGTTGAGTCCAATGACCAAGAGTTTGGTTAAATAGGTAGGTCTTAAGGAGTGGTCATAAAACAGGCAAGAGAGATCAAGAGGCAGAAAGGGGGGAGTTTCGGAAGTCAGCTGGAGGGGCGAGGTGGCTGGTCAGGCTGCTGAGGCAGAACCATCGATAGCAGAGCAATTAATATTGGAAATGCTCAGAGTTGGAGCAGTGCAGAGATCTTAAATGGTTGTAGGAGGTTACAGAGCTAGGGAGCTTCCATATATAAGTATACAGGAGTGCTTCCTTACTGAGCCATTTACATTTAGCTTGCTCGTGAGGTCTGAGCCAATACCTAACCCATCCAATTAAAGCTTCATCCTTTGGTTATGTGGTAGGTTTGCCCTAGTACAAACAATCTGCAAACATGTCCTGTCCTCCTCCAGTGCTCTTGCAAGAACATGACTCCTTTACCCGTTCTATCACCTTTAAAATACTTGGTACATGGTCGGGTGAGATATCGATCCAGTCAGCTGGTTGAATTTTCAGTCTGTACTGATGCTTCAAACCTACTCCTCCTTACCTCTAAACCAAGAAATGGGTGGGAGGTAATGGGGGGGACAACCAGGGGTTCCTTGGGTGCAAGGAGAATATTGCTGTTCATCCCGCTGGTAGAAGGTTGTAAGAGAGGCAGGCTTATGCACTTGTTGATGTGGGGTGTGCTTCCTGAGGGCTGTTAACACTGGAATCATTAGACACTCGTCAGAGAATTATCAAACTATGAGTTAATTTATTTGAAGCAGTAAATCACATTATAATTACAAAGCAGACATTGCAGCAGCTTGTAGTCCTGCCCCTTACAGACTAGCTGTCAGGCAGAGTTGCAACAGCGTACACACAGAGCACGTGGCATGAACTCCCTTAAGTTCAAGATAATGTACGCTACCATTCACTGGTGTGATTCCTGTATGTCAGATGATCACCTGGTTAGGTTTCTGGTGAGCAAGATATTGTTTGGGCCAGAAGGAAGGTAGTTTAAGAGGAAGGGTTAGGAGAATCGATCATCTGCTGTTTCCCTACCAGTTGGCCTGTGTTTGTAATAATGGGGTTTTCAGTGTCAAGAGTTTTCAGAGGCCAAGAGGTGGGTGCAAAGGGGATCTGCTGAAGTGCTGCTAGGGATGAGGGGCTTCAGTAATATGGAAAGATTGCAGAACATGGGAATGTTCTCCTTAGAGTGGAGGGGGTAAAAGGGAGATTCCACAACGTGTTCAAAATCACAATGGGGTTTTGACTAGGATAGATGGGGAGTAGTAACTGTGTCCAGTGCCAGGAGGGTAGGTAAGCAGAGGAGACATAATTAGAGAAGGACCCACAAATGAGTCAAGGGTTTTTTTGTGTACAGTGAGTTGTTGTGATCCAGAATGCTCTGCCTGAAAGATTCAGTCGCAGTTTTCAAAACAAAATTGGACAGTACCCGTAAAGGTGAAATTTACAGGGCTGTGGGGAAAGGACAGAGGAGTGGGGCTAACCCAGCAGCTCTTTGTTTTAAATACATGGACCAAATGGTTTCCTCCTGTGCTGTGAGATTCAATGGTGAGGAGAAAGCTTAGCCTAAGTGAATTTTTTTTTTTTTGCCCGAGTCGTTCCTCGCTGATGGGTAAAGCTCAGACTGCACTTGTGAAGTTTCATCAGTGGGATTGAAGCCCTGCCAAGGAAACGTCCCCGTGATTTCCAAAATCGAGATTTCTGTGTCGCATTGAGTTTAAATTGCCATTGGAATCCTGTGGGGTGGTGCAGAATTGAACAAGAACTGTATGGAATTGTGGAGAATGTTACTGAATAAACTACCATGGATGATTTTGTGTGGCTTCTAAACTCAGTAACTGTGTATTGTTTTATTTCTCTTTGTTCCTGGAGTAGTAGGCCTAGCTACTGAAAGGCCAAAACCTATTACTGTGTTTGACATGGCTCTTTGCTGAAATATGATCATTGTGACAAATGGTTTGAGACTAGGGACCTTTCTCACATGTTGTTGGACTGTATGTCGCAGACCGGCTTTGATGGAAGCTCACTGATCCAGCACTGAACAGGATGACTGTACGTCATAATAGAAGGATGCATTTTAGCCCATGCAGCTGTTCCCCTTCATTGTAGGGTCAATAACAAAGAGGTATAATTTTAAAGTGAAAGAGGGTTAGAGGAAATTTGAGGAAAACCTTTTTCATTCAGAGGCTGGTGGATGTCTGGAATACATTGCTGGGAAAGTGGGAAACATCTCAACCTTTAAGAAGTACTTGAATGAGCACTTGAAATACCATAACATTCAAGGTGATGAGTGTAGGTGGTAACATATTTTTGGTGGCACAGACCTGATGGGCTGAAGGGCTTCTTCTGTTTTGAGTTTGCTCTACCATTCAATAAGATTTGACAATCCTCACCTCTACTTTCTTGCCTTTTCCCCATGGTAGGCTCATGCAGAAGGTAAGGAGGCATGGGACAGGGGGAAATGTGGCAGATTGGATTCAGAATTGGCTGACACTTAGACAAAGGGTGGTAGTGGACGGAAAATATTCAACATGGTGCTCAGTTACGAGTGGTGTACCACAAGGATCTGTTCTGGGTCCTCTTCTATTTGTGATTTTTGTAAATGGTTTGGATGAAGGAGTGGAAGGGTGGATTAGCAAGTTTGCAGACGATACGAAGGTGGGTCGCGTTGTGGACAGTGCGGAGGGCTGTTCTAGGTTACAAAGAACATTGATAGGATGCAGAGCTCGGCTGAGAAGTGGCAGATGGAGTTTAACCCTGAAAAGTGCGAGGTGATTCATTTTGGAAGGACAAACTTGAAAGCAGAATACAGGGTTAATGGAAAGATTCTTGGCAGTGTGGAGGAGCAGAGGGATCTTGGGGTCCATGTTCACAGTTCCCTGAAAGCTGCCACCCAGGTGTATAGAGTTGTTAAGAAGGCGTACGGTGTGTTAGCTTTCATTAATAGAGGGATTGAGTTCAAGAGCCGTGAAGTTATGCTCCAGCTATACAAAAGCCTGGTTCGGCCACACTTGGAGTATTGTGTCCAGTTCTGGTCACCTCATTACAGGAAAGATGTGGAAGCGTTGGAAAGGGCGCAGAGGAGATTTACCAGGATGTTGCCTGGAATGGAGAAGAAGGTCTTACGAGGAAAGATTGAGAGAGCTAGGGTTTTTCTCTTTAGAACGACGAAGGATGAGAGGTGACTTGATAGAGGTGTACAAAATGATCAGAGGTATAGATAGAGTGGACAGCCAGAGACTTTTTCCTAGGGTGGAGGTAGCTGTTACGAGGAGGCATAGTTTTTAAAGTGAGTGGAGGTAGATATAGGGGAGACGTCAGAGGTAGGTTCTTTACTCAGTGGTAGGGGCGTGGAATGCATTGCCGGAGAGGTTAGTGGAGTCGGCCTCATTAGGGGCATTTAAGTGGCTATTAGATAGGCATATGGATGACAGTATAAGGTAGGGGTGGAGGTTAGATAGACCTTAGGATTAGGGTAAAAGTTCGGCACAACATTGTGGGCCGAAGGGCTTGTACTGTTCTCTGTTCTATGTTCTATGTTCTAACCCTTGATTCCCTTCCTGATATAAAAATCTACGACAGCCCCCTATGATAAAGAATTTCACAGATACAGTACCCTCCGAGAGAATAAATTCACTCTCATCGCTGTCTTTAATGTGCAACCCCTTATTCTGAAATGATGCCCCCTGGTCCTAGGCTGTCCCATTAAAGGGAAACAACCTCTCCACATCTACTCTTTCCATTCCCTGACAAAATCTTGTATATTTCAATAAGGTCTCTTCTTATTCTTCTAAACTCTGAGTACAGGTCCAACCAACTCAACCTCTCCTCATAGGACAGCCCCTTCATACCTGGTAGTGAATCTTCACTGGACCAACTCTGATACCAGTATATCTTCCCTTCGTTAAGGATCCCGAAAATGTTCACAGTATTCCAGCTGTGAGAAATCTGTATTTGTTAAAAGAGTTCAGAAGGACAAGAGGAGAGTGGATTGAAATGTAATAAATTCTGTTAACGCTGGACAGGTAGATGCAGAGAGAG